AATTCTGGATAATGGCTTGCAAAGAGGGAAAGCAAAACAGGTTCCCCATCCTCATTGCAGAAATAATCCTGTTTGAGACCGCTTTAACTGCCATGGATGGCTCCAAGCTATGGAATAGTTTGCTGGGGCACTAGAGCTCTCTGACAGGGAAGGCTAAATGCCTCCCAAAACTACAGTTCCCAGAATTCCCTAGTACTGACCCAAGGCAATTAAAGCGGTCTCAAACTGGATTATTTCTGCAGTGTGTGTTTTGAACCCTTAGTCCTAAGTGCAGCAGTTGTATAGAATTCCACAGCATGGAATTCTGCCCGGGGCAGTTAAAGCGGTGTCAAACCGGGTTCCTTCAGCAGTGAGGACGGCTTTCTTTCAGTCTCTGCTGCCTCCAGGTTATGCAAACCCTTCCCCGCACCCAAATTTATGTAACTTGTGGGGACTAATCTTCCCTAATCTTGAGGAGGAAGGCATTTAAATCCCAGGAAAATAAGCCTGGTTCTGTGAGCCTTGAGGAGGAGCAACAAGAAAGAAAGAAAGAAAGAAAGAAAGAAAGAAAGAAAGAAAGAAAGAAAGAAAGAAAGAAAGAAAGAAAGAAAGAAAGAAAGAAAGAAAGAAAGAGGTGGAGGGAGGGAAAGGAGAAAAGGAGGCAAAGTTCACTGGAGAAAAAACAAAAGCCTAGTTGGCAAATGGGAAAAGGTGGCTGGGGGAAGAAGGCTCACAGCTTCCAGGCCTGAGGAAAAGGAAGAGGAGGAGGAGAAGGAGAAGGAGAAGGAGAAGGAGAAGGAGAAGGAGAAGCAGCCCCAGCACCGTCCTGGCCGCCTGAGGGATGAAGGCCTCCTCGCTCTTCGTGTGCCACTCTCTCGGCTTCGCCTGGTACCTCTTCCTGGTCTACTCCGTCGGCCACCTCTCCAGGAAGGGAGGGGAGAAACCCTCCGACATCTTGGCCTATGGAGGGCAGTGGAAGTTCCTCACCGTCCTCAATCTGGTAAGGGGGCGCCTAGGTTTGTTTCCCTATGGGCAAGTATTCTCCTCTATTTATTTACCTGTGGGAAAGTATTT